TCAACACCTCAGCAGCACCATTGGAGACGAGTGGTCCAGGGGTGGCTTGCACTGTATTTACAGAGAATAAAACAGCAAACCTTCATTTAATGTTAACTGTTGGCTTGGTTTCATCGTCTTATCTTTTGAGACAAATGTTTTCATTGTGTCTGTCAGCTTTGAGGCAACTGTCTGTCAGCTGTGAGATCTTTTTTTGTTTGTTCACCGGCTGTGAATTCCAGCGGAAGGTCGAGGTTAATCGTCCGCTTGAACTTATGGCTTTTACCTGGACCTGAGTACCCCCTTTGGGACAGCCTTGTGTGGAACGGTTGGCCCTCAAGGGAAGGCAGGGGCAGATCATGGGCATTCCCCGCCATCCAAGGAGGCTTCCATAATAGCAGAGCCGATACATGATGCTCTGGTTCTGGGCTCACCCAAGGAATCGTCACGTCCTGCACATAACTGCTTAACCTCACAACCGTATATTGAGCTTTCCGCTCAACACAGGCTGCGTCCTCCGGGGATCAGCGGGGAGCAGCCCGTGGGTTCTGGACTTTGTGAACACACAAATAGGTACATTCTTCTTCGTTGCACGTTAGACACCTTTAACGTTGTTTCAACTGTGCCCTTAGCATGACAGTATAGGGAAGCATGCGTCAGGCGTGGCTTCAACTGTTTGGTCCCAGCACTCGGGCGAGTGGGGCCAGTGTATACGGACATTTGGACTTTTTTTCTAATCAATACGAATTGTGATGGTCGGACTTTGAGCTTGCTTGTGTGCCGTAGGATCTGACTTTGTTGTCCTGTCTCTGAGACACCTGTCTGTGTTGTTTCTGTTGTCCTGTCTCTGAGACAACAGTCTGTGTTGTTTCTGTTGTCCTGTCTCTGAGACAACAGTCTGTGTTGTTTCTGTTGTCCTGTCTCTGAGACAACAGTCTGTGTTGTTTCTGTTGTCCTGTCTCTGAGACAACAGTCTGTGTTGTTTCTGTTGTCCTGTCTCTGAGACAACAGTCTGTGTTGTTTCTGTTGTCCTGTCTCTGAGACAACAGTCTGTGTTGTTTCTGTTGTCCTGTCTCTGAGACGACAGTCTGTGTTGTTTCTGTTGTCCTGTCTCTGAGACGACTGTCTGTGTTGTTTCTGTTGTCCTGTCTCTGAGACAACAGTCTGTGTTGTTTTTGTTGCCCTGTCTCTGAGACAACAGTCTGTGTTGTTTCTGTTGTCCTGTCTCTGAGACGACTGTCTGTGTTGTTTCTGTTGCCCTGTCTCTGAGACGACTGTCTGTGTTGTTTCTGTTGTCCTGTCTCTGAGACGACTGTCTGTGTTGTTTCTGTTGTCCTGTCTCTGAGACAACAGTCTGTGTTGTTTCTGTTGTCCTGTCTCTGAGACAACAGTCTGTGTTGTTTCTGTTGTCCTGTCTCTGAGACAACAGTCTGTGTTGTTTCTGTTGTCCTGTCTCTGAGACAACAGTCTGTGTTGTTTCTGTTGTCCTGTCTCTGAGACGACTGTCTGTGTTGTTTCTGTTGTCCTGTCTCTGAGACAACAGTCTGTGTTTTGTTTCTGTTGTCCTGCCTCTGAGACGACTGTCTGTGTTGTTTCTGTTGTCCTGTCTCTGAGACAACAGTCTGTGTTGTTTCTGTTGTCCTGTCTCTGAGACGACTGTCTGTGTTGTTTCTGTTGTCCTGTCTCTGAGACAACAGTCTGTGTTGTTTCTGTTGTCCTGTCTCTGAGACGACTGTCTGTGTTGTTTCTGTTGTCCTGTCTCTGAGACGACTGTCTGTGTTGTTTCTGTTGTCCTGTCTCTGAGACGACTGTCTGTGTTGTTTCTGTTGTCCTGTCTCTGAGACGACTGTCTGTGTTGTTTCTGTTGTCCTGTCTCTGAGACGACTGTCTGTGTTGTTTCTGTTGTCCTGTCTCTGAGACGACTGTCTGTGTTGTTTCTGTTGTCCTGTATCTGAGACAACTGTCTGTGTTGTTTCTGTTGTCCTGTCTCTGAGACAACAGTCTGTGTTGTTTCTGTTGTCCTGTCTCTGAGACGACTGTCTGTGTTGTTTCTGTTGTCCTGTCTCTAATGCTAAAACAACAATATACATACTGGCATGATTGAACTAACACTAAAACATTGGAACGATTGAACTAATATTATAACATACTGGCATGATTGAACTAACACTATAACATAGTGGCATGATTGAACTAACACTATAACATACTGGCATTACTGAACTAACACTAAAACATTGGAACGATTGAACTAATATTATAACATACTGGCATGATTGAACTAACACTATAACATAGTGGCATGATTGAACTAACATTATACACACTGGCATGGCTGAACTAACACTATAACATAGTGGCATGATTGAACTAACACTATAACATAGTGGCATGATTGAACTAACATTATACACACTGGCATGGCTGAACTAACACTAAAACATTGGAACGATTGAACTAATATTATAACATACTGGCATGATTGAACTAACACTATAACATAGTGGCATGATTGAACTAACACTATAACATACTGGCATTACTGAACTAACACTATAACATACTGGCATGATTGAACTAACAATAAAACATACTGGCATTACTGAACTAACACTAAAACATACTGGCATGATTGAACTAACACTGAAACATAGCATGATTGAAGTAATACTAGACTGGTATACCTGAACTAAAACAAAACATACTGGCACGACTGAACTAACACTGAACCATTTTGGTACGACTGAACACAAAAACAAACTGGCATGACTGAACTAACACGGAAACATTTTGGTATGACTGAACACTGAATCATACTGGTGTGACTGACATAACACTGAACCATTTGGGTACAACAACACTAAATCATACTGGTGTGACTCACCTAACACTGAACCATTTTCGTTTGACCCAACACTAAAACATAATGGCGTGACTGAACTAACACTAAAATGACCGAACAAACTAGATTTACAATACTAAACAGATCAGACATAGCAGAATATTCTTCACATGCGGCCATGCTTACAAGGGCAGTTGGAACTCTTATGTTGTGGTTTACAGCTAGGCTGTGATATCTGACCTTTTTGTTGCAACACATCTGATTTCATCATATTGAAAGATGCCTTTTACAGCATAATTGTTAAAGTGCAGTCAGGTCCCCCCCCCCCCCCCCCAAATTTTGGTCTCCAGAACCCACACTGGGAAAGCAGAAGTTTGAATTAGATGGAGAGTTCTGTAATAAGAAACAAACTTCATAAACTAATCTCTGGAAAATTGATTTATTAGACTGTTACTTATATTTCTAAATGTAGTTTACAACAAAATGAAACAGAAAAGAAATTTGATTTTCAAAAATACACCAGAAATACATGACACCCACTACTGGAACGCTTCAAGGTTCCTATGTATAGAGCTGGAATGTTTCAGAACATGGCATTTAACAACAAACAACACTTTCATATTTACTTTTAAAACCAGCAAATTAGAACCATCAAATTCCCAATCTGAATCACCATTGATTACCTGCATCAACAAGCTAAAAGACTGCAGTGTAGATAAAAAGGCAGATGACCGAGAAACAAAAACTGTGTACACAAAAGAGTTGAATGGGAGTAGATGGTGGAGAGAATATTTAAGCAGACCAACAAACACTTGAAGTCACCAACTGGAAAAAGAAGGGCAATCAGAGAGATGAGTGATACTTGAACCTCAAGGCTTGCAGTGCTGAAGAAGAAGCAAATTAGTATAATACCTAATTTGTCCCTATTCTTTTTGCTTCACATTTATGGGTTGTATATTCGGACAGAAATTTCTGGCTGTTCATCCACTTCTAGACTTTAGTCTTGTTTCGGAACTTTTTAAGTTTTGAATTACATCAATTGTACAAATCAGACTTTTTTATTTTTAAGCAGACTGTTTGGTTTCTTGCTTCTGGCACAAACCAGCCAAAAGAAGAAGAGGAGTATGCAGTTTTTCCTCTATAAACAATCAAGTGTAACATATGTGTCGATGAAGGATATGTTCCTGTCACTGATATCCTTTCAATCCAGTGACTCATACTAGCTAATTCTAAGGTACATGTTACAAGAGATTCATACTGGCAATAGCTGACCCTAAACTGTACATTTCAAGAGATTCATTCTAGCAATAGCTGACCCTGAAGTGTACAACAGATTTATGCTGGCAATAGCTGACCCTAAAGTGTTCAACAGATTTATGCTGGCAATAGCTGACCTACCCTAAAGTGTTCATTACAAGAGATTCATGCTGGCAATAGCTGACCTACCCTAAAGTGTTCATTACAAGAGATTCATGCTAGCAATAACTGACCCTAAAGTGTACATTTTAATAGGAAATGTATGATAGCCTTAGTTGATCCTAAAGTATACATTACAACATGAAATCTATTATAGTAATAGCCAATCCTAAAGTATGCAATACAGCCAGAGATTCATCATAATATCCTATCAACATTTACAATATCAAAACTACAGATGCAGCAGTAACTCAAAAATAAAAATATGTTTTACAAAAGACTTATAACCTTATCTAAGAAAACAAAAGTATCAATCACAGATGAGTTACATAAACAGTTGAGCCTACATTGTTTTCTATTAGGACAATGTGTGATCAGGTAGGAAAACTGCTAATGATGTCATGTAACCATTGCTTTAGCTGGTCCAATTATCATCATCTTGTGACAGAACTGTGCTCATGATTCATCTAAAAAGTTTATACAAGGTTTGTTCACAAATCATCTCAAAATGTTTGATAAACAGCTAACAGATCACCTCAAAATTTATATAATGTTTGTTTGTGAACCACCTCAAAGTTTAAACAATGTTTATTTTTTAACAGAAATAGCTGTGGCTACTTATTTCCTGATGAAACAAATTAAATGTATGGAATAATGGAGCTGTGATGAAAGTTTTACATTAAGGGTCTGTTGTCCTCTCCTCACTTTCGCTAATCTGCATACTGTGTGACCTTCCCACCTGCCTGCCTGCCCTTCTGTGACCTCACACGTACACGACTCTCATCTCAGTGGTCACCTCTGGGAAATAAGACATATAACATTATCAGTCCGTGATCACCTATGAAAAACAAGACAACACTACCAGTCAGTGATCACCTTTGAGAAACAAGACACAACACTACCAGTCAGTGATCACCTACGGAGAAACAAGACAACACTACCAGTCAGTGATCACCTATGAGAAACAAGACAACACTACCAGTCAGTGATCACCTATGAGAAACAAGACACAACACTACCAGTCAGTGATCACCAATGGAGAAACAAGACACAACACTACCAGTCAGTGATCACCTATGAGAAACAAGACAACACTACCAGTCAGTGATCACCTATGGAGAAACAAGACACAACACTACCAGTCAGTGATCACCTATGGAGAAACAAGACACAACACTACCAGTCAGTGATCACCTATGAGAAACAAGACAACACTACCAGTCAGTGATCACCTATGGAGAAACAAGACACATCACTACCAGTCAGTGATCACCTTTGGAGAAACAAGACACAACACTACCAGTCAGTGATCACCTATAGAGAAACAAGACAACACTACCAGTCAGTGATCACCTACGGAGAAACAAGACAACACTACCAGTCAGTGATCACCTATGAGAAATAAGACACAACACTACCAGTCAGTGATCACCTTTGAGAAACAAGACACAACACTACCAGTCCGTGATCACCTATGAGAAACAAGACAACACTACCAGTCAGTGATCACCTATGAGAAACAAGACACAACACTACCAGTCGGTGATCACCTATGAGAAACAAGACACAACACTACCAGTCGGTGATCACCTATGAGAAACAAGACACAACACTACCAGTCAGTGATCACCTATGGAGAGACAAGACACAACACTACCAGTCAGTGATCACCTATGAGAAACAAGACAACACTACCAGTCAGTGATCACCTATGGAGAAACAAGACACATCACTACCAGTCAGTGATCACCTATGGAGAAACAAGACACAACACTACCAGTCAGTGATCTCTTATGAGAAACAAGACAACACTACCAGTCAGTGATCACCTATGGAGAAACAAGACACAACACTACCAGTCAGTGATCACCTATAGAGAAACAAGACACAACACTACCAGTCAGTGATCACCTATGAGAAACAAGACACAACACTACCAGTCAGTGATCACCTATGAGAAACAAGACACAATCTACCAGTCAGTGATCACCTATAGAGAAACAAGACACAACACTACCAGTCAGTGATCACCTATGAGAAACAAGACACAACACTACCAGTTAGTGATCACCTATAGAGAAACAAGACACAACACTACCGGTCAGTGATCACCTATGAGAAACAAGACACAACACTACCAGTCAGTGATCACCTATGAGAAACAAGACACAACACTACCAGTCAATGATCACCTATGAGAAACAAGACAACACTACCAGTCAGTGATCACCTATGAAAAACAAGACACAACACTACCAGTCAGTGATCACCTATGAGAAACAAGACACAACACTACCAGTCAGTGATCTCCTATGAGAAACAAGACAACACTACCAGTCAGTGATCACCTATAGAGAAACAAGACACAACACTACCAGTCAGTGATCACCTATAGAGAAACAAGACACAACACTACCAGTCAGTGATCACCTATGAGAAACAAGACACAACACTACCAGTCAGTGATCACCTATGAGAAACAAGACACAACACTACCAGTCAGTGATCACCTTTGAGAAACAAGACACAAAACTACCAGTAATGACCTCTGAGAAACAAAAACACACAAAAAACTAATCAGTGATCTCCTCTGGAGAAACAAAAAACAACATGATCAGTCAGCAGACACCTATGGTAAACCAGAAACACTACTTTAAGTCAGCTGTCCCCTATGGGGAAACAATAGACACCACTATCAGTCAGTGGTCATCTCTGGGGAGGAACACTGTGAAACAAGAAACAGTACTATCAGCTCAGTGTCAGTGGTCTCCTCTGTGAAACAAGAAACAGTACTATCAGTTCAGTGTCAGTGGTCTCCTCTGTGAAACAAGAAACAGTACTATCAGTTCAGTGTCAGTAGTCTCCTCTGTGAAACAAGAAACAGTACTATCAGTTCAGTGTCAGTAGTCTCCTCCGTGAAACAAGAAACAGTACTATCAGTTCAGTGTCAGTAGTCTCCTCTGTGAAACAAGAAACAGTACTATCAGTTCAGTGTCGGTGGTCTCCTCTGTGAAACAAGAAACAGTACTATCAGTTCAGTGTCAGTAGTCTCCTCTGTGAAACAAGAAACAGTACTATCAGTTCAGTGTCAGTAGTCTCCTCCGTGAAACAAGAAACAATACTATCAGTTCAGTGTCAGTAGTCTCCTCTGTGAAACAAGAAACAGTACTATCAGTTCAGTGTCAGTAGTCTCCTCTGTGAAACAAGAAACAGTACTATCAGTTCAGTGTCAGTAGCCTCCTCTGTGAAACAAGAAACAGTACTATCAGTTTAGTGTCAGTAGTCTCCTCTGTGAAACAAGAAACAGTACTATCAGTTCAGTGTCAGTGGTCACATTCATTAGTCCAGGGTCAGTAGTCACCTCTCTCAGTCCAGTGTAAGTGATCACCTCTATGAAACAAGGATTAGTATTATCATTTCAGTGTCAGTGGTCACCTCTGTGAAACAAGAACCAGTGCTATTAGTTCAGTGTCAATGGTCACCACTGGGAAACAAGAAACTATACTTTAAGACCAGTCTCAGTGATCATCTCTGTCAGTGGTCACCTTTGTCAGTAAAGTATCAACTATCTCGTCTGTCACTACAGTGTTAGTGGTCACCTCTGTCAGTCCAGTGTCAGTGGCCACCTCTGTCAGTCCAGTTTCAGTGATCCCCAGAGGCAGTGGTCGCCATTGTCAGTGGTTACCTGAGTCAAGTGTCAGTGATCACCTCTGTCAGTCCAGTCTCCACCTCTGTCAAGTCCGGTGTCAGTGATCCCCTCTGTCAGCCCAGTGTCAGTGGTCACCTCTGTCAGTCCAGTCTCCACCTCTGTCAGCCCAGTGTCAGTGGTCGCCACTGTCAGCCCAGTGTCAGTGGTCCCCTCTGTCAGTCCAGTCTGTGAATGCTGTCAGTAACTAACCTCTTATGTCTATCTCCTTCACCCAAAATGACTGTGCATTTTGGCAGTGAGCATAGATGTGGATGTCCCCAATGTGCTGCAGCACTTCCACTTCTATGGACTGACTGATGACTTTCAATGCCTGTGAGCTGTTACGCCCTTCCTGTTAGAAAGATATGTTCAAACAGTATGTTTACACTGCCCACATAGAATCTGGTTGTTCTATTCAACATACCAGGTTCCACCTGAAAAATTTTAGCAAAAATGTCTAATTCCTTCTGATACACTGAGGCAAAAATATTTAGTTCATCTGGATAAACTGTCACAAAAATGTCTAGTTCCTTCTGATAAACTGTAGCAAAAATGTCTAGTTCATTCTCATAAACTGTCACAAAATGTCTTGTTCCTTCTGATCTGCAAAACAAAAATTATCTAGTTCCCTCCGCATTCCAAATTACAATTAAAATTGTATAGTTTCCTGTTAAAAGATGTAATAAAAATGTCTAGCACAACATGTGATAAACTGTAAACAAAATGTCTTATTTCCTGTGAAAAAACATAATAAAAATTGTGTGTCAAGTGTGACAAATTGTAACCCAACAAAATATTAAAAATTACTAGTTACCTCTGATAAATTATAAACAAAATGTCTTGTTGCCTGTAATAAATTGTCTTCAGGCTGTAAAATTACACGTAATGAACAATCTCAAGAATTCCAAAAAATGAGTCTATATTTTACTAAATACATCTTCTTTTTCTGTGTTTGACCTTAAAAGGGTGGTTAGCACACTGTGTTGTTGTTTACAGCTAGGCTATGATATATGTGTCTTTTAACCCAATGCATCCAGTTTCAGCAAACCCCTAACTAGTTGCTGTTTACAGCAAGCTTGTTGTGGGCAACACCCACCAGAAAAATGGGATCCCTGAACCTACAAATGCATGGCTTTGAATAAGTATAGTTACACACTAACTGATAAAAAGTGAGAATGTCTCTATTCATCAATACATGATAGGGCAGACGTGATTAGTGCCTTGTGGGAGAGCGTGTACAGTTTGGAGGAGCAGATGGATCACCACAGTCTGGTGAGACTGATGCAGGTGGGAGTGACGAGAGGTTCTGGCAGATGCTTGAGGCTCAGAGGAAAGGCGAGACGGACTTTTAATCAGAATGCTACTGGCACCATTAGTGTCGGAACTCTTCGCTGGCTGCTGAAGATGGGGATGGAGCGCTTATGGGAATGCCCCGAGTGCTGCGATGTCGGTTCTTAAATTTAATTAAATCATTCATCAAGAAAATCCTTCAACAGCAAACTAAATGGGTTGTCCACTTAAAGAGAATGCCTTGTGATGCCACCCTATACAAGGTGTATATGCCAAGAGATCACAATGTCACTGGCAATGTGTGTAAAATGAGCAGGAACAAACCTCATAGGACCTCCAGCGCTGATAGCCCTCCTCAAAGGTCTCGTCCAGGCGATCGATGTAGCATGTGCTACTGTCCACATCCTTGTATGCAACCAGGTGCTGTAAGGCAACATAAATCAGTGTCAACAACAGGTGAATGTTCAGTCTCCTTCTCTGCTTTCCCTAGCTGTTAAGTCTGTGGTGCTTAACCACAGACCTTTAATACTCTTTAATCGTTTTACTGCTATGACTGTCTGCCTTTTGACTTCTGTTAACAGTCTCCACTGCTTTTTATTATGCAGCCTTATTATTCAAAGCTTGTGACAATTTCAATGTCTTCATCATTTATTGTGCTATAGTGATAAAGATATCTATAAACAGATATTTATCATGGTTATACCTTCTTGGTACATAAGACAACCACTGATTTTCATTTGTAAGCTTTTGCACCTTTCCATCTAACCAGAGGACAGTGTTGCAGGGTGCTATCAGAGGCATGGGAATTGCAGCTTATGATGATGCTGAGTGTGACTGGCAAAGCTAGTTTCTGGCAATAAGAGAGGTTCATGTGATGGTAAAGAGTGATCCTGAAATCCTGTGCACTTATTGTAGAATAAGTGCATGGGATTTCAGGATCATTGTTCACCATCACATGTATTTTTCTTCACAGACATTCAGCTCTTAACCTGTCTGCAATAATTTTCTCCTACTTTCTTATTACCTTCCTGATTGCATGGCCTCACACGAATGATTGCAAATGTAATATTTTAGATATATTAAAAAGACATCATGACTTGTGACTTACCAAGAGAAGCTATAAAAAAAAAAACACAAAGGACCCTTCTCATAGGGAGCCACAGTGGTGTGGTTGTTAGAATCTCGCATGCAGATCCAAGGGTTACGGGTTCAAATATGAATGAAGCCAGACTTTTTTTCAAAAATGACCTTGTCTTCCTGATCGACCTAACTTGAAATGGGTACCAGCTAAGGTCATAGGAAGTAAAGGTGACTAGCGCGATCTTGACACCCCCCAGGCCCCAATAACTGCCTTTACTTGTACCCTCGTCACACCAGCGGCATATCAGGCATAAGATTCTAGACTCATATCTTTAGAGACCGATCAACATTTGACAGGGGATATGGTCAACATCATGCTGGTCCTCTCTATTTCCCAAGACTTTACCTGGTAACCTATTTTGGGCTGGGTAAACACGAAAGCCAAGGTCATTTTTTTTTTTTTATATATTTATCCGGCTCAGTGCGGATTTTAACCCAAAAGCTTAAAGTTAGAAGTCAAGTGTCTAGCCATCATGCTAAAAGAATCCAGCAAAGGCAGAAAAAAAACTGACCCTGTTGTACTCATGGAGAATGTTCATGGAGTTGGTGTCGGTGTCAGCATCATGGTCATGGGAAGCGTGGATCAGCTGGTTGTCACTGTCAACATGCACATTGGTGGGTAATCCTTTGTAGGCTAGGCATTTCCAGTCCTGCAGAATTAAGCAGTGGTCAGACTACATGTACATTTAACATTGTAAACCAGATCATGCTAAGAAATGTGTCTTTGATACCGCAGAATTCCAGACAATAAAATTCTTAACAAAACAATTTTACACAGGTCACCAACATATTTTGTTGTAATTTATTGATCTACATTTTTTTTTTTAATCTTTCTCTCTCACTCACTCAAAGACACAGATACAGATATATAGGGATGTATCAATAAACATAAGGAGAGAAGGCATTAAATGGAATATACACCCAGGGGCTTTACAAAAAATAATATGTATTGGGTGACTCATGTTATGACCCTTTGAACTTTATCACTGAGACTCACACAAATCTGATGTTGACTCTGTAAAAAGCTATTGAGTTCACATGACCCCCCCCCCCCCCCCCCCCCCCCCCCCCACCCTCATGACATTTTTAACTAGTAGATTCATATTCTGATCTCTTAACCGTTTGTACAAGGGTAAACTCAGTCAACAGCATTAACTATGTGACTTGTAAACACATCACTGTAGACAAGTCACAATAGTGACTTTTATGAGGAATAAGACCAAAATAAAAGTGTCAGTTTCGCAGCTTCTCAGGGTAACAGGGTTAAAGAAAATAAAGTGTAATCTCCACAATGAAAGTTGGCTCCTATGGACCTCCAACAAGCTCTGTTTTCGCTCTGCACTCTCAGACTGCTGTTTGTCAATTTTTGATGTTATTCTCCCATTTGAAGCACCGTCTGCCTCTTGCTTATTTGCCTTCAACATTTTCCTCCTGTATGGTTTTTATAAGATTGTTATATTTTTTATTATGGCGAAATATTTCACTTGTCTCTGTATTATTTCTGTCAGCAACTCTTGTTTCATTCTTAGTCTCTTCATAACCTCTGTGTTGGATAGTTTGGCCTCCACAAAATATGACCTATTCTTTTGTGTGAGTATAATCAGTGACAGACGTGAAGCTAAGGCAGTGAGCATGCAGATTAGGCAGTTGCCACAGCTGGCCCAGCACTGGATAGAAAAGATGTAATTAATACCATGCGAGCTGCATATCAGAGAGAAGATTATGACAATGAGCAGGACTCAGTATCCTTATCCAGGTTGGTGGACATGGGGGCGCAGCCCGGAGTAGCCAGATATGAACATTTCGCCAGGGGCTCAAGGCGTCTGGTTAATCAACAAAGAAAGGGTGTGATCAGTCATTTTACTCTTGTGGAACTACTGAGCAGGAGACTGGAGCACCTATGTATCTGTCTGAAGTGCTGTAAAGATAGATAGTTAACACTAATCACAGAAGTGAGGCTACATACAAGTAACTGTAAATAAACTATCTGTGTGGACAGTACTTGAACTTTCTGTGAGGATAGTGCATAAATTATATGTGTGTACAGTACAAGAATTATCTATGAGGATAATTCATAAACTTTATGTGAAGAAAGTAAATAAACTTCTGGTGAAAAAAAAAAAAAAAGTACAGAAAATTCTGGTGAAAAAAGCACATAAATATTTGTTATTTAAGTGCATTTCTATTAATCAGGAAATTATGTACCAGTCGGTGATGTCTGCGAAGAACATTAACAATGGTAATATATAGTCTCAACAACAATAGGTGTATGTGTAGCTGCAGAGTTTACCATATGTGTAGAAATATATATATATATGTGTGTATGTGTGTGTGTATATGTGTGTGTGTGTGTGTGGGTGGGTGGGTATATGGGTGTGTGTGGTGGTGGGTGGGTGGGTGTGTGTGTGTGTGTGTGTGTGTGTGTGTGTGTGTGTGTGTGTGTGTGTGTGTGTGTGTGAAGCTATATACAAATTACATTGTTAATGTATTAGTTATTCATGTGTGTCTTATATACACTGTCTTAAATGTATTATTTTGCTGTGTGTTGAACAACTTTGCATTCAAAGTCTTATTAACCCTTTCACCCGAGAAAAACGTTTTCTGGTTTTTACATGTTTTGGTTGACCCAATGTCCTTGGACAGTGCACAGTAGGCCTGTGTGTTAGCTCTGTTACTGGCTGCAACTGCATAGTGTGTAGATATGGGTATGATTAAATTTATCAAACAAACATTTTTTAGACAGTATTTAGGGTGGGAAACAAAAATATTTTTCAAATAGTGAATTCACTATGATCTTATATAATTTTATTATACATATAAATTCATTTTGGATATATTTTAACGAGTTTTCCTTGAGCCCCATGGTGGAACATTTTTTTTTATTTTACTAATTTCTGTAAACATACTGTCTGTTTGTTTACTAATATTTAAATACTTACGCAATTATTTATTGTTGTAGTATTCTATTATTATTCCCCACCAATCCCTGGTCACTTTGATGATAGGTGTATGTTGCATGGCAGCTGAATTTATAAAGTATGTTTTAATGTGTTTCACTTGTGAAATTTTAAAAAAAAAACTGCTGCCACCCCTTCGACCTATAACTATAATAATGAACTCCCTAGGAGTCAAGAGTTAAACACATCTGGGCTCTCCTCCGAACTTCAACCCGATAGTATGGCGGCCATAAAATATCCTTATGGAGCTCAGGCATATGTAAAATGCAGACTTTCTGCCAAGGAACAAATCACGGCAAAACTAGGATTACTTGGCAATTTCAAGAGATGCAACATTGCAGACGATAGTAGCAGACGATAATAGCGACTGTTGACAATTTCGAGCGTTTCTGCAGACGATAGTAGCAGACAATAATAGCATGCGCAAAACGCAATTAAACTCACCGCCGAGCGTATCCTCCGCGCCGCTACGCACAGTGCGGATGGAGAGCTAAACTAGGTGCCTGGGACTCACGAGCAAATTAATTGGATGAAGTTGCAGGAGATTGGGTAGCTGCTGCTCGTGAGTCCCAGCCATCTAGTTTAGCCCCCATCCACGCTGCACGTAGCGGCGCGGGGGATACGATTGGCGGTGAGGCATAGTCACAGAAACAGGTCCGCAAGTAACATATCGCTGAGACCCTGTTAGAGCATTTGTTTCGTTATACGGAGCCGGCATATTTTTAATAGAACTGAGCCCTGTAAGGATATTTTATGGCCGCCATAATATCGGGTTGAAGTTCGCAGGAGAGCCCACATCTGTATTTGATATGTCCCTATGACGTTTTTATGGTATGCTAAAATTCAACAATATTTCTGTTTACAACACTAGTAGGGTTCACAGTTTCTAGCTACAGTGATTTTAGTTTGGATTTTTCGAGATTTAAGTCTGCAGAAATAACTTTTATTAAAATCTCAAGATTGAGAATCAGACAACTAAATATCCCGGAAACGGTGAACGGTGTCAGCAGTTGTATTGGGCACAACAAAATGGTTGATAAGTAACTAACTTGTAGCAGAAGTTGTAGTCTGGTGTCAGTGGGTGATGTGTGTGAGATTCTGTGTATGTCTGAAAACAAAATTCAAAATTAGCAAAGATTTTAAAAAAGAGAAATGAAATTTGTGGTCGTGTGTTTGTTTATTATTTATAAATGAAAATTTGTTGTGCAGTCGGTCAACTGAACTTGAACTAGTCTAAGAGTCTGGCTATCAGCTGTTGTTTTTTTTTTTTTTTTTATATATATATATTACTTATTTGTTAGTTTCCGATTACAAACCTCATCAAATTCACATTTCTGTGCATCTTTCCCCAATAATGAGACTTTTGGAGGAGACATGATTCCCTTAAAGAAACAAAGTTCCACAAATTGTTGGCAGTATATTAGGTTGTAGTAACAGGGAAGAATTCAAGATGGGGGGCTGGCACTGGCTGGTAGACGATATTTACAGGTTTCCCTCAGTGTTGCCACTTTCCTTTGACAGAAAACATCTAGAAAGGGGTCCAAAAATATCTAGAAATATATAAATATCTGCGCGGAAAACATCTAGAAAAAACATCCATTTGAAAGTCACAAATTACTTAGCTATTGATATGGAGGTTAGTTGCGTATCCTTTACAGGACGTTGCAGAACTAACCCCAACAGCCAGGGGGCTGTTGTGTGGTTTTTATAGGCAAATTTACGTCCAGTAGTTTGCCATTGCTTTCTGAACGGTCGGCTTTCTTGATACCACTGTCGAGACCAACGCAAGGGGCATGACCCGCAGCCGGCATCCCGGCATTACGAAGCGTTCGCATCGACTAAGCCACAGAGCCGACTAGCTATTGATATCACGACTATCCTCCGAATATCAGGCACAAAAGATGGCGGCCAATGACAGGACCTCAGTCACGTGTCAATTGTGCACTTCCGGAGACTTAATTTGCGGTTTTCCGGCGACTACCGCCACCGCCGGGGTCCCCCACGAAACTCACGCGGCGTGGATTGGGGCCTAGCTAGGACTCATGAGCAAAGCTGCAGGAGATGCGGCCGCCATCTTTTGTGCCCCTTTTTCGGAGGATAACCAATATTACTTACCCTATATAATTATGTCCTAATCTTCACTGTCTGTCACATAAGATCAACAGGATAAACTTACCTTGGATGATAAAGTTAAAGCTTCAGATCTAAAATGACCTTGGTATGCTCTAGCTGTTCCAATACACAATCACTTGGTCTTTTTATTTCGAAGTGTGTCTTTAACTTCAACCATTGGTTCACAAGTCTTTCAACAGCTGGTTGAATTTATAACAATCTAGTTTTGCAATCTGACAGAATTTTCAGTTGTGCGAAACATTATATAATGCGTTATATAAGATGTTGTACTGCTGTTGTCTGACAGATGATTTGGAAAACCAGTTATGTGTTTTAGCAATAAAGTATTCCAAATTCATTGGTAAACATTCAGATGAAGCATGTGATAATGCTAGCTGCATGAAATGACACACATATTTTATAAGGATTAGTGAATGCATTCTACTACACGAATGAACCTACTACACGACAGTTGCCTCAAGCATCATATGAAGATCAATACTGAAAAGACAGAAGTCATGAGCATAAGTAGAGAGCAACAGACCATCGACATAAAGATTCTAGATCACAGCCTAAAACAAGTGCAAGAATTTAAATACCTGGGAAGTATCTTTACATCCAATGGTAAAATGGACAGAGAGATTGAAGCAAGAATCCAACAAGCCAACAATGTCGCATACCAGCTTGCCCCAATTTTAAAACACCCTGCTGTCCCAGCTGAGATAAAAAGACAAATTATAAATACAATCTTTATACCGATATTAGGTTATCAATTGTCAAAAGAACACGAGAGAAGATCAAATGGTCACAGTTCGAAATTCCAAAGCGAGAACTTAAAAACATTGTGAAAGATCCTTCAGCTTTTGATAATATATTAATTGGTGTAGAGCTGAAAACAGATGTCAGCGGTGTAATATCTTTCAACGGAACTACAGTTTTATGCTTTTTAGTCTTTGCATAACTCTTTAAGTCTTTTATTTTCGCTTTAATTTCAAGCTTGCAGTACTTAGTACTTATTCGTATTCCCAGGAACTGCCATCACCCAGTCTTTAATTATGTCATCATACAGCCACTCTTTCCTAAAATTTTGCTCATACTGCTTTACTTTGGCATGTTGAAAGGTTTTTCAAAGTGGAAGTCATATATGAAGGTGAGCAATTATTTCTTTTTTTAAATCAAATGAAAAAGAACTACAAAGTCAGCATCACAGCTATAATTCACAACACAGTGAGGATACAGTTCAAAGTTAGTATGATTTACGCGTGCCGTGACTGCTAGATTGTTAAACGTAGACCATAGTGAATTCAAGGTTTGAGTAATCGCAGTTACCACAATACACGTGCCCAGACCCCAAAAAAATGTGTAATAAATATTTCATACAGTAATTATTAAACTGACACTGAGAGGAAAACAAATCTATAAAAATCTAACTTCAAATGAAAAACATCTAAACTTACATCTACCATCTAGATGTCAAAAACACCATCTAGATGCGAGGGAAAACATCTTGATCTGTATTGGAAAACATCCAAAGTGGCAAAACTAGTTCCGCTCCACGACATGGCCAGGTAATTGTTGCCTGAAATGCCATAGAAACAAGGGCGTTGGTCGTTCTGTATTTCCACAACCGTCTGTTTCTGTTACAGCCCCTAACTTTCTGCTTCATTTATTGTCAATAGTAGTAATTTAAACAACAATGTCCTGTTTAACCCATCCGGTTTATAACTGGTTGTTTTTTCTCTTTCAATAATGGATATTTGTGCCCATTCAACTGTGTCTGATTAATTAATATTGCATAGCTTATGTCTCAATCGGGAGACGCCATGGTGTGGCAGCTAGACACCCACCTACGGATCGCAAGGTCGTGGATTCAGGTCCTGACTGACGGAGCCGGACTGTTTTTTCCATAAATGACCCTGGCTCCCCAGTCGACCCAGCCTTGAGCTAGTACCAGGTTCAGTCCTGGGAAGTAAAGGCGGCCGGCGTGATGCTGACCACATCACCAACCAGGTGCTGACTGACTGACTTTCTACCCCACTAGGACATCACACAAGCGATAAACACCCGATGACACAAAGTGCCACCATGCGGATGAGGATCACCGTGGAGAGGTCCCAGAAACCGCGTTCAGACAATTGGCCATATTGATGGCCTGCCTATATTGCGGCCCCTGGCAAAAGCCAGAGTAGGGCTTCAAATAAGAAAAAATTACGTCCTGAAAAGGACGTAAGTTTGTTGAACCAGGTGCCGATTGGTCTATAAAATATAGGGCTAGCCGTAATGCCTGATACGCCGAATACGCCTGAAGGCGTGGAAAAGAGTCCCTTAAGTGTAGTTTTAAACAGTTATGATAATTATATCGTGTAGTCTCTGCCGATAACTTAAGTAAGCTGGGATACCATTATTTTGTCTTAAGATATACTAATATCTAATTTGCTAACCCCTTGTAGTTCTTAATAGCCATCCCATCCCAACATGTATTCTGTTGTCACAGATCAACTACAGTGGGTATTATACCATAATAACTCGTGTATAGGCCGTAGTAATTTAAATGAAAATCGTTGATGCAAAAATAATAGGGTGCTGCTTATATTCAAGATATTAGGCTTACATGTCACTTGTACAAAATTGTATAATAGACAACACACTATTTTTAGCTTAATTTGTTTTCCATTGGAGGGGGAGGGGAGGGGCACCTAAAGGCCTGAGGCTACCCAGTTAAGTGACTAGAAAATATGTAATGTAATGAGGATGTTTTTATTTTCCTAATTTATTTGGTGGGGGGGGGGGCGGGGGAAGGGTCGCTTAAGGGATCTGAGCTCCTGAACCATTTTTGTTTTTACCTATGTAACGAGGAGGGCGTACTGGTTGGGGGGGGGGGGGGCCTCAGCGATCTTCCCACATTTTTCTTCATAAAATTTTTAAGGTCCTTCCCCCACCCAACCACAACCCCCACTCCTCTCTCTCTCTCTCTCTCTCTCTCTCTCTCTCTCTCTCTCTCTCTCTCTCTCTCTCTCTCTCTCTCTCTCTCTCCAGCTGCAACTAATTTAAAATGTTATAGGCAAAAAATGGGGACGGTTGTGATAGCCGACCCCCCCCCCCCTTTTCCCTTTCCCTTCCCCCCCCCACCCGGGGGGCTGGCCCAATGTTTTCTTCGTTTCTTTTCTTAATGAGCAATATTATTTGGAAATACGTGAAGGATGAGTCATCGACCAATTGTATCCCTACCCTTTTTCTTACGGACAACAAGGTCACACGTACAAAGCTATCTATCAACTTCACCAATCAAAGATATCTCACTGGTCCGCCTGGCTAGAAGCTGTAGTCTTATTCTCGTTAATGGCGGTCGTCGGCATTAATTATTCAGTATTTCATTTCCGACATTTTTGTTTCACTGACGACAACAATCGACCATCATCCAGTTAAAATTGTCTATGATACGAATGATTTCCGGGTTTGACATTTCTCGATTCTGAGCCCTTCCCTGTATGTCCTGAGGCAACAATAAACAGCTTCCTTTGGCTAATGATAGTCATCGAACTGTTTCAACATGAGCCGCCTTTAGTGGTCAGATCTGATCACTCGTGTTCAAAGTTGTGTGGTGGATTTGGTTAATTCTGTCCTATGTGGGCGTGGCTGCACAAGAAAGACGAAATTCAAGAGAACTATAAATTCGTGTCCAGCCAGCTAAAGCGGAGAGTTATACTGCACGCTACCTCGTAATAGTAGTGGTGCATCAATGTACTGTGTTCTGTGTTTGGGCGGAGGTTCAGGGATTGCTCCTGTTTGATTCATCCATGAGGTATTAATCCTACGGACAGCACTCCTGGTGGAGAACAACTACCATCAGCAGCAGTGTGGGGGAACAAAACTCTTTATCCATACAGGACTGCATGTTACACACGGCTGGTGCAACCGTCGTAGGTACCCCGATTATAACTTTTTAGAAAGTTCAACGGGATATCCAGGATTTTTTTTCTTGTTGACTTGCCAGCCAGACAGGTTTTGCAGTCTCAGTGTGGTTTTGCAGTCTCAGTGTGGTTTTGCAGTCTCAGTGTGGTTTTGCAGTCTCAGTGTGGTTAAACTTTCAGTGGTAGACAGGAGGGGGGAGAGACGGGATGGTGAAAGGCTGCAAGCAGATTAGTGGACTGGCAGAAAGCAATATGACTCTTCGTCGATCACTTGATCACCAGCCCTTTTCAGCTCCAGCGATATCGTTGTCGTCCGTTTCATATAACACTCAGATATCATGTTCTGCCTTTAC